AGATGGTATATATATGTGTGTGTGTGTGTGTATATATACAGTGAACAAAGAGTCGCCACATAGTAAACAGAAAGTCGTCACAGAGTTAGCACTGAGTCTCCACACAGTGAACACAGCGCCGCCATACAATGAACACACCGTCATCACACAAAAAACACAGTGTCATTGTCGTCACACAGAAAACACAGTGTCTCCAACCTAAAAACACAGTTATTATAAAATGATATGATATGAAATCAGTAGCTTAGCGCAGTAAGCTCAGGGAACAGTGGTTCCCTGTTCTCAGGCCAGCGAAACTGGTGGTAGCCACTATGTGTGCGCTAGACCGTAGATATTTCTTGGTCCTTGGTTCAATTCCCACAGCCTCTCTTTGTATTTCAGCTAGAGGTCTAAAATGCAAATTACGATAGCGCATCGTCTTTCGGATGAGACGTTTAAGCCGTTGGTCTCGTGTGCATTTGCCACATGTGAACGTTAAAAAACGCTGTACACACTTCTGAGTGGGGGATTGTCTACCGGTGTACAATTAGGGGTCTCAAGTCTCCTGTAAGTCGCTGGATTCTCCCTGAAATCGGGATGGCCTTCCGCACTCGCAAGTGTTAAATATTGTATACTCAAGTTGACCATTAAAACTTTCAAACCAATTTAAGGCATTTATCAGGTGAAGTGTATCGATTCCAATGGTTATGCAAGTGAATTCCTTTGACCTTAATACTACATTACATCCCTTTAAATTCTTTTTTTTATTTTTTTTTTTTTAACATCATAACATGAAGGTAAAATGTACTACAATTTTTTTTTTAAATTAACTGCTATACCGTTCTATGTCTACTACAATGTGTAGTAGGCATAAAGCAATACAATAACTCACCTAAAAAAAATAAATCGTTAAACATAAAAGATCATAGCATATAATACAAGTGGTGCAAGATGAATACGTGTCAATTTCCATCATTTACTCAAATTCACTCTTTCTTTCTCTCCATTCTTTTCTTAAAAAATACAAATGAATAACATTTTTGATTTTCGAGGTTAATCAATCTAATACGGTTTTTCAGATGTGTCTTAGTCATCGATATTAGATTGTATTTAAACGTCTAGTCTTGCCATATCCGACGTGATATAAAATATTTAAAGGTAAAATAACTTTATGAGGAGGAACTTAAATTAACTTTTATTTAGCATAACATTATTTACTTACTTATTTCCTAAACAATTAATTGCTTCTATTACACGTAGACTGGAATTCATCTATTCGTGTTTACTATTCAATAATTCATTAATCGCTTCATTACATTTAAATCATAAACAAAATTGTTGTATTCCTCGTCATAAAATTATAAACTCAATATAAATCATTAGAAAACATGTCAGTATAACTCGTACTTACTTCATTACGCTGTGTATTCACACAATATAATTTCAAGTTCTCAATATTTAAATTCTATATTCGTATCAATTTCAAGATTTCAGTGTAATTCCATGTTTACACGATCAATTAAATTTGGGAATAAGTAAATGAAATGCAATGTTCTCTAATTTTGAAGTGCGTTTACGAGTGGTGCAATTAGTAAGTGAATGGTTATCATCATCAATTTATAATCGAAGAATTTCTTCCTCTACACGTCCAAGTCATATCAATTAAACATTGCATAATTAAAAAAACTTCTGGCCAGTAAATTAATTAAATTATATATCATTTTAGCTTTATTAACCTTAAAAATTACCTGGCTATGAGCAATTGAAATTGGTTATACAAATTGGAATACATGGGCGGTTCTGCAAAATCAGCATAATTGGTATATTATTGATGTTTATACTTGTGTTTTCATATCTAAATCGATCAGGTATCGATTAAAATGTGCTTGTATTATTATTCAACATTTTGCTATTTTGATCTTTACTTGTTTGAAAAAAAAAAATGCGCACTACAAAAAATGTGCGCATTTGAGAAGTTTCTGTTTCTGTTTCTGTTTCCGTTTACTGGTTTCTGTCACACAATTGAAATGAGTTATACAATATAATGGGAAAATAATGTAAGGTATTGTTATTATCTTAAATAATAAACAACAATAATCATTAAATAAGGTAAAATATTGGTGTGAAAGAAGTCATAATAAGTTATAAAAACTTTAAGGCATGACCACCAGCTAATCAGTTATATGCGACGTAGTAAGCCTAATAATTAATTTTGATATACATATGCATACATAACATAAAAATATATACATTAAAAAAAGTAAAAGTAGTAAGATACAAAGGAAATTGTATACTAATAATAGTAATAATAATAAAGAAGCAGTGAAAAGTAAAGATTTAAAAGAAGGATTTTATACACCATATACCTGAATCAGAGATTTTTTATAGCAATTTTTGAAACTTTAGCCAGAGTTGGTTTACTTTTTAAGTCAGGTGAAAGATTTTCCTATAGTTTCGGGCCTAAATATAGTATAGAATTTTGTCTAATTGTAGATGTACAGCATTTAGCGTAAACATTGGTTGAAGAAAAACGGGTATAATGAGAATTCAAGTCAGAAGGTTTGGTAAAGAGAGACATGATAATTATGATTAGGAAGAATTTTTTTTACATAATATAAAATGTTTTAGACCATTCATAATAAGGGATGTAGTCTGTTTCACAAAAGATCTACGTGGGTAAAATCGGTAATCGTTCTCTAAGAAATTGGTTTCATCAAGTAACAGTCGGAAATCTGGAATTCGTCAAACTGATATGAATTCCTATGATTTTTAAGCTAGTAGACTGGGGCAACAGGATTGCCATTCACTAGCCCGAGTTATATTATGGAAAAAAACATGATTGAGATTTTATTTCGTAAATTTCCTTGAGAAATTACATGAGATCCCACTCGGCGCATGCGCATGCGCAGGCAATTCGTTCGTAGCATTTGCAAGGCTTAGATTCAATTTATGTCAAAGGTCAACAATAAAGTCCCGACCATTACCAAAACAATGTACAGATGTGCGCACGATGACCGACGAGTACGAGTCCGTATCATGCAACTCTGTGGAACATTAGGCTACCATTGTTTAGGTCTGTGACAAGGGAGCGAAGAAAATATGTGACAATGCGTGGAAAAGGATTTGCAGAGAGTTGAGTTATCTAATCTTTCTACTGCAGTATTAGGCCTCTCCAGCCTAGGCCTCTGATATCCTGCTGCTACTACCTGACACCTGTAGCCTGTAGGGTAGAGTAGGCTAGGCCTACTATCTACCCCAAGGAGACCCGCTCTAGGCCTAGGCCTTGAATAATATGCACTAAAAAAAAACCTGTTTATATTCACTCTTTTGATTCATTATGGAGTTCTGGAAATGTTAATCTTGAGGATTTTATCTGATTTCATCTTACAGCCCTTTTCCTCCGTCTATCAATGAGATAACAAAATCAGTTTCATTATCACTTCTCTGTTGCCACCCGCCATTTCGAGTTTTCGCGCGCGGTCAGCAGTGGGAACAGGCAAGCGAATCATTGGAAGCGAGACATTCTTTACCGAAAGACAACTCTTGTAGGCTTTGCGTGATTCGCTTCGCTTGCCGCGTGACGCTCGACGCTTTCGCTTGACAAGTTTAGTGGGGAACCGGCCTGGAAATTCTAAGCATACTCAGTTAAATATACTTTATCATAACTATGTCAGACAACGAATCGGACATCATAAAAGTTTTAGGTCCAATAATTAATGATACTGGTACTAGCGGTAGACCCACGTGGGCTGACATGCCAGGAGCTAGTACTCTGTACTAGTACTACTGCCGCTAGGCCTAGCCTTAGCGTTGGGAGCAAGGCCGCCAGCAGGCCAAAAAGAAAAGGCCTGGATCTGAAAACCTCCACGAGAGGTAAACGCAGGTCAAAATCGAAAAATTCTGACGATGGTGATGGTACTATGAACCAAAGTCTCATCTTCCTGTGCAGAGCTCACTCATTCAAAACCTTAAGTCAAGTGATCCACATGGTTGGCACAAAGGGATCCAGATAATTACAAATAAATGTCCACAACGCCCAACTATTGTAATGTAGTATTAAGGTTCAATGGTATTAACTTGCATAACCATTGGAATCGATACCCTTCACCTGATAAATGCCTTAAATTTGATTGACAGTTTTAATGGTCAACTTGAGTATACAGATAATCGACTCCAAACGATGGCCGATAGACGACTCCATCTTTGTGTTCAATTTGGACTGAAATGTTTAAAATCTCAGAGATACGCAAATTGGTTCCCAATAAATAAAAGTAACCATAATATGACCCTACGAAACTGTAATACATATCAAATCCAAAAATATAATACTAATAGATATGGGAACAGTGCAATTCCTTTTCTCATCCACTGCCTTAACGAGAGATGATGAGATTTAGATTGCTAGAAAATACGCGTTAAACTGATATTGCCTATATAACATTGGCAAATGTTTTATTTTTATTGAGGCTGGTCCATATTTTATATTTATAAACATGATGCCTATTTTATATACTTTGTATTTGAATATGTCTTAATTTTAAATAATTATTTTACTAACCTGTATATATAATCAGTATCTATATTGTCTAGTTGTGTTAAAGTAACGTTTGTAATTAACTGTCTTGAAATAATTTTTTATTTTGTAAATTTTACATTTTGTTACACCATGTAATTCAGCTTATATGCTGCGAATTGGTTAGTTGAAATAAAAGATAAAGATAAAGATAAAGATCTTCCCCTTCTAATTACTTATAAAATAATGATTAAATTTCAAACGGTAAGTTCTCATTTAATCTTTCATGTAGTAGATTTTAAGATAAACAGCGCCATCCCTTTTACAATTGATAATGTATTGGGTTTTTTCATGCATGTCAATTACTTTTAGAAGTTCATATTAAAATCTCGCAGTGTAGGCATTTAAATGTTGTGGCCTCCTACCATTATGTCCTTATATTCGACGACAACAGCAATATCAATTTAGTTGAATGAAATTATTATAGACATTCGGTGGTTTCTCTACTCTATATATCAGTAACACTAACAACTCATATCAAACATAGATAAAGTCAGTGTAAAAACCAAGCAGCACTCAATGTTGGACATTCTGAGAATCGTTTTCGTTAATTCGTTGCTAATTATTAGCCCTGTTCTGTCGGGTATGTATCATTTTGACTAAACAATATCTGAGAGCTAAATAATTCATTAATAAGTAGAATTAATTCATTTAGAGATTGCAATGGTGGGCTTAACAGTAGTAGTAGTAGCAGTAGCAGTTGTTAAGAAGTTTTATTCTTCCATGTTTTTTAATAATGAAAAAAAAATATGTATATAGTGTAGCCGCTATTCATTAATTATGATTCTTACTTCATAAACATGAACCAGACCGGTTTAGCTTTCTTCTTTTTATTTTGGTGGCGAGACAGAAACGATCAAATATAATTGTTTTTGGTCGTTGTTGCTTTGCCAAACCTGTTTTTTTGCCAAAGGGATAAGTTGCGGATTTTAGTGAGGCAGAATTATTAATACCTTCTGCCTTATTGTAGTCTGCAGCTTATCTTCCATCTTTTCAATATTTTCTATAGATGAATTTATTATAAATTTATAAAATATATTATAAATTTATAAAATGTAAAAACATCTTTTTTAATAATTGTTTTTCATTGTTCTTTTACAGGTTAGCAATTTAGAGAGAATTCACCCATGTTGTCGGGCTTCAGCTCATTATTCTCTCTAAGCATGCCGCTAACATGTGTTTTTTTTAATTTCCTGTCTATATAATAAATAAATAAATAAATAAATAAAGCAGTAAAAAAGAAGGGCAATCAAAAGTTTTCATGTTGAGCTTCTTAAGCCTAGTATGTTCAACAAACCGGCGTTAACTACTGCCTTTAAGGTCTACATCAGACCTTTATTAGAATATTCTATATATGTTTCCCTACTTTGGCACTTTGGTTTAACCAATCTAACCACATTAAAAAAAAACCAAAAAAGAACCTGCATGTCCTTTTTTTTGTTTTGAAGAAAGATCTGAAATTGCACTAAATTTGCAAAGACATCTTCCTAAAATAATAAATTCTAAAATTGGTTCACACTTAACATAGCATGCGACCATGACGGCATTCGTTTTGTACCTCCATGCTTAAACTAAAATACAAATGCAAAGAAATGTACCAAAACTCTCATATACACAACAAATTATGTTGTATTTAGGCCTCCACGAAAACATAAATATTTTGACGAATTGACAATGGACAATATTTTACTACGCCGTAAACAAAACGCCAGGTTTCTAGGTGCCATGCTAAATGAAAATCTAAGCTGGAAGCAGCATATTAAGTTGACCAGTAACAAAATTGCTAGGTCGATTGGTGTACTCGTGAAAGTTAGATCCTTTTTTTCCCCACCATATTTTAATAAACTTATATAACACTTTGATATTACCCCATCTCCAATATGGGAATCTTATCTGGGGGAACACCTACAAAAGCACACTGGAAGCCCTTTGAAAACTTCTGAAAAAAGGCTGTCAGGGTTATAACTTTCTCATACTCTAGGCAGATATGAACCATTATTTAAGAAATTAAAAATAATCAATATCCATGACATTTACAAACTTAACGTCATAGGATTTATGTCAAACGTTAAATGTGGCGAATTATCGCAGCGTGTTCTAAACATTAAATTTTTTCTCTACGTATGATAACACTTCCCACAATCTAAGAAACAAAATAGAAATGCATGTTCCATTTAAAAGACTGACTTGTAGTCAGCACTTTCTATATATAAGTGGACCCAAAATATGGAATTGTTTGTTTTGACCAAATGCCACATACCTTACGAAAAACTCACAAAGGCCTAAAACTATCTTTTAAAAAATGTCTATTGTCAAAGTACTTAATAAAGTCTACATAATGGATCGAATATAAAGGATATATCGGATATCAATGTATTTATGTAAGTAAGTAATGTCTACATGATAGATCGAACATAAATTAAGAATTTAATTTGTTTGTTTGATTATTAGCAATATATTTGTTGATCAGCCAATTAGAGGTTTTTTCGCTCTCTTTTTGATTATTGCATGTTTTGTATTTTGTAAAAGAGGTACACACCGACATGTGTTTGGGAATACCAAATAAATGTTGACTGAATTGAATTGAATCTATAGCTAATACTCAATAGCAGCCTATAAACAATTATCAATAATAATAATGTAGATACAAGCATTAGGCCTGTTTAGATTGAAACTTGGTTTCTTTGTATTGATAGGTCTAACAATTACAATTAAATTAGCAATAATGATCTTCAGTTCTCAAATCAACTTGTGCAAATATCAAATAAACAATAATAATACCGTAAATACTCGAATAAGCGCCGGCGCGCTTATAACATTTCTGGCGGCCAAAAAAATTGGCGTGGCGCTTTCCTTGCCTGTTTCTATGTTACCTATTTCACGTTGTCCCGTAGTTCAGTAGGCCTATCACAGGTCATATTGTCGTAAACAAACGTTTATAAGAAATGCTTGTCTTCATTGTGTTTTAATTTATTCATTTTAACACTGTATACATTGAATTTAAAACCCTGTTCATTACACGCAGGGTAATATTATATACTCTCAATTAAGTGCCGCTACGCTTATTCGAGCATTTACGGTAATAATGATAATAATAATAATAATAATAATAATAATAATAATAATAATAATAATTAATAATCATAATAAATAATAATTATAATAACAATAATAATAATAATAATAATAATAACAATAACAATAGCAGTAGCAGTAGCAGTAGCAGTAGCAGTAGCAGTAGCAATAGCAGTAGCAGTAGCAGCAGTAGTAGTAGTAGTAAGAACAACAAAATAGTACGAAGAATAACGATGTGTTTTTATTTTGAATCCCAGTGAGAATCAGGAAAAATGTTTAAATTATTACTACATCAATACACATACTCTATACCGTATAATTCTTTATTATTATTCCCAATTTCTTTAATTTCTAAAATTAAAATTAGTAGAAATATGAAAACTATGCAAATATTTTGGGGAAAAAATATATGAATTTCTTCAGAGATGTCACCAAATTTGTCATAGCTATTGTAATAATCTATCTCAGAGTTGTGTATCGATCGTCTTGGTATTGAAGATGGGACTATTCCCACAGAACAGCTGTCTGCATCCAGTGAATTTAATTTTCAACATGGGGCACCTCGTGGACGACTCAATACTAAAGCATATGATTGGATGCCAGGGTCATGGTCGTCAAATGTCAATGACCAATACCAGTGGATCCAAGTTGACCTCGGTAAACTACATGAGGTACATGGGGTAATTACACAAGGCCGTAACAAATACATCACACCAGACGGCTTTATCTGGGATCAATGGGTGACGTCTTATGAGATTCTTTACAGTGTCGATGGTAACCATTTCCAACCAATCAAGAATTCAAATTGTCAAGTAACGGTAAGTGTCTTTATATAGTCTACTTTATTCATTCATTCATCTTTTATTTCGGACTTTCATGCCCAAAAGAACAACAGTTAAACCAATACAAATACATATAAATATCAGACAAAAGTGAAAAAGACTGAATCAAGAAAAACATCAAGATCAGGAAATCATCTTAATGTACGACAATGTTCCACTGTTTATACATTTTAGAATTGGAAAGAGCATAATGCTTAATGGCCAACATTTCTGAATTAGAGCTGATTTTCACACGGTTCTTGAAACTATGTTTAGAGTTTCGAAGATACTTTACCATTAGTCGATGTGTGTCAGATCAAGTCAATGTCTCTAAAGAAATGGGCGTTCTGACGAGACCTCTCATCCAATCAAATTGATTTTTAGCTGAACAGACAGCTTGATTAGTCTATTTTTACATACCGAAACAGCCGTTAAAATCGGCCCAATGGTTCAGAAGTTAGAGTGATTTTTGTAAACATGATTGCAAAATTGTGTAAACAGATAGGAGTTAATACACTGGGCGATCGCCAACTGACTTGGCTTGAAAAAAAGATTCCGACGACACCTCGTTGATTTTAAAATTAAAAATAACATAACATTATAGCTGAATAAATAAGGAACAAGTTGCAAAAACAGCCAAAAAAAGAAGATAAAGAAAAAAAAACTGATGAATTTTTATCACTAGGCCTTGGCTCAAATGGAATGGGCTGTTGCCACGCCAAATTTGATATACAAATATTAAGTCTATATACCATTGTGAAATAAAGTACTAAAAATAATTAAAAATATGATGTCTAATAATATGCTTTTAGCCTAATTCAGTACCGGTATATGCCTTTTTAAAATGTGTATTGCATTTTTCCCCGGTAACATACATATTCAAGTATTGTGTTTAGGCTAATTTTAGAGTTTAATAGATACTAATGTTTCTGTTAATAATTGTCTGTGTTGCTGTTAAGTTAACATTTCGCAAACTGGGTTTCAGTTTGCAAAGTAGGATTCGGAAATGTTCTGAGCAGTAGACCAAGCACACTTAAATTGGCCTAGAGAGATAAGAAAATGTAAAACGCTAGAATACAGTAAAATTGCTTTGATATTACAAATACTATGTCTATATAACAATTGTAAAATAAAGTACCAAAAATCATTAAAAGTGATGCCTAATAGTATGCTTTTAGCCTAATTTAGTATGCGCCATTTTAAATGTGTATTGCAGTTTTTTTTTTCCTTATATATACGTATTAAGTAAGTGTGTATGCTCTTTTCTGGATTCTATAATGTATTTTATGTTTTTGTTAATAGCTTGATGATGCAAATTATTACTTACCGGGTATCAAATTATTTAGAGGTAAGGACTATCCTCTGCTGGACACAGGCCCGGTAGTTTTGAGTCTGGGTTTTTTGGTCAGAACTAATTAGAAAATATAAAACTGAATATTATAAAAATCATACTCTTACAATACATCATACAATAGTATAATAATAATAATATAATAATTGTGTCAATAAAATATGTTCAAAGCAGGCAAACATCATTTACAACAACATTACATCACTATTTTGACTTGACATTACCGTGGCTTATGTTACATGCCACGATATGAGAATCCTGATTACCATTTGAACCAATTTCTTGGTTATTTATGAAATTGTTATTTAATTAAAAATTTCAAAATCAATGAGATATTTGATTTGCAGTTGATTGGTCGATGAACAAGACATGTATAAATATAGCTTAGGAAAATGCATAGGCCTGACATTACAATTGTTGTTGCTTTGATATTTTATTATTGACAACACTAGTATAATAGTTTGATTCCATAATTAGGTATTGCTCTTTTGACCCCTTAAAATTAATGTCTAATAACAAGTTCTAGCCTGTGGTAGGCCCTATAATTTCATTTTCAAATAATAATGAGGTAGTTTCTTTATGTAAAGCACCTAATATTGTTTCTTTGTTTGAAAAATATCGAATATGCCAATTATGGTATAAACAGATTGGGTCAAAGTTCAGACCTTTATTAACATCAGAAACACAAGTTAGATACAGGAATGTTTGTGTATAGTTTGTGATTAGTCTCAAGTTTTTACAATCCATAGTTTTAAAGATATTGTAAGAAATTTTTTTTAAATATGTGCACTTCCGGTCATTTTCAGTCCATATTTCTCATTTGACCAAACAGGATCATACAAAGTTTGAGCAATTTGACACCTAATATATTATCATGACCTTAAAACTGTCTTTCAATATTGGTCAATATTCAATAAAGGCGCTTTCGGTCATTTCCCAGACCACAATACCCATAATAGGAATATCTGAGCAATTTCAGACCAATAGTTGAAAAATGATATTGTTATGACCTTTAACCCAGATATTAAATATTTATATATCGAAATTTAGGTGACTTCCACTAAATTTTTTTTTCTAGATTTTTAATAATTATGATGTTGTAGGGTACACATTAAGTACAATACTGTTGAAATTAAAACTATTGCAATTACTTCCGGGTAATTAGGTAGATTGACTTGATATATTTTCATTTAAATTGTTTATATTATTTAAATAAGTTGCCGGTACTTGTATATTATGTCCAGTGGCATAAATGGGTTCTAAGAGGACCATGTCCGAGACTATAATAGTCAGGACCCTTAAAATATATAAATTTGTCGACTAGAGTAAATGATATCCAGTTAAAAATTACATGTATATATTTTTTCCTTTACATCATCCCCGACTCAAACATTTTATATTTGTATATTTCTTTTTTATTTATTTTTTGCTGGAATCTCTCCCGCCAGTCTCCATATTGTTATTTCTGAGTTGGAATTTGCGGCGGGACTATTCATTACGGTACTATACTGTATAAATTGTAATTTTACCAAAACAAATTATAGTAAAATGATGATATGCTCCCATCGGACACTATTCCTGTAAGAGTCCACACTTGGAACGTAAAGAGGCCAGTGCGCAGGATTTTTATTAGGTTGTTCCAAATTTGTATACAGAGAGTGGACCAAAAATGGCTCCAGGGAGGAGAGGCGCCAAGGGGGGAAACCCTGCTGGGATTGATTATGTACATCGATCTCACCTTTTCACAGTGTTAAAAGCGCAACTACATTAATTAGGTTTAGGCAAACTGGCGTAGCGCATAAACGAAGAAATTTGGATTTTTCTTTTCTATGAAGGGCGTGTTTCTGTTAAATAACGCCAAAAAAACACTTTTTTAAAAAAAATTTTTAAATTTTTTTTATAAACGGTTAAATTCCTTCTGAACGCGTTTCAAGTGAAAAGTGCAACTAATAGAAACACGGTAATGCGAGCATTGGCAGGTGGGCAGAGCTTAAAATGACGGTCACCAACGGAAGTTGAAGCTGACCTTACTTCTTGCGAGCTACAGCGCATGCTGCGAAAGAAATAATTAATAATACACCACGAAGAGAGGTCAGAGCCGTAGATAGAGAGAGTTTAAACTCGGTTTCAATCACGTGACTTACACCGGCCATGTTGTCACCAAAACAAACCAACGCGATAGGGTAGGAAGTTAGCAGTTATTATAGATGATTAATGCTATATAATGTGAAATACCGTTATGTTGGGTTTGGGGTTGCTGCAATCGATCCAACAAAGAAACAAAAATGTATTAATTTCCTTAAATTCCAAAAAGGAAGAGGATTTGGAATTTTATTTTAACTTTGCATGGCGATCGAAAAATCTCGCTATCCACGTAGTAAATTATAAGGCATGTACCGCCCGCCCCACTTCGCAGTAATAATATATCCACCTACTACTACTAGGCCTAGACATGCCTAAATTTCGGTACTTCTTCGGCCGAACACCTTAAGATAGTACTTAAATCAGCTTAATTACGATGATAATAAAAAAAGGAAGAATTTTCAAGCAGCAATGATTTATAAAAACATGCAATGTTGCACTTTGCTGTTAAATTATGTAACTAAATTTCCAGAAAGCTACATGAAGTATCAGTCAAAGGTAGCTTAAATTATAATTAAAAATAAAAGTTAAATCCTCCAATAAAAGCGAAAACTTGTCCAAGGAGTCCTGTGCTATGCAAACATGCCAAATTTTGCTTTACCAATCAATAAATTGTGCAACTAAAGATTTTAAAGATAAAAATATATTTTAAAGATATAGGCCTAATTGTATTATAATATGTTGATTGTTTTAATACATATTTTAAATCGAAATGTTTAAATGTTTTACAAATTACAAATCAAAATTTCAATGAACAGTAAATAATGAATAATAAATAATGAATAATAATAATAATAATAATAATAATAATAATAATAATAAATAATAATACAGTAATAATGATAATATTATAACTAACTTATATATAAACAGAAGTGTGGAGAATGCTGCTATTTTACTTACAAGGCCTAGCTTCTTGATTATGAATGATTAGGCATATGTTGTACAAAAAATTCCCTCAATGCAATAATTCTTCAACTTTGATTTATTGTTTAGATTACAATTTACAAATAGGCCTAGGCTATTTGTTGGTTTGAAGATGACTAGCATATTTTATTTCATAGATTAAAGTTTACGAAGTCATAGGCCTAGAGGCCTAGATACAATTAGAAAACGTTCATGTTATTAATATTTTTATCATTCATTTACAGGCGAAATTAACATATTATCGCCGACGATTCACAAACCTACTCTGTCTGCACAACCAACCTTTCTCCTCTGCAGTGTTGACTCTTAGGAGCCTCATGCTATATAGAGTAGGCTGCTAGCAACTAGGTATAGGCCTAGATGATAGACTTTCAAAACAAAAAGATAATCGTAACGAAAGAAAAAAATAAAGAATCGTCCACACTTTATCTTCTCCAAATAATACAGCATGTCACTGATTAATTAAATCCAAAGTTAGGTAAATATGATTATACAGTATATGATATTTACAATGATATGTTAAAATCCCATAATTGAATTGTCCTCATGAACAGAATAATGAAAGAAAGTTTATGCAGCATCAGTGTTTTATAAAATTTTATAAAGCTATGCGCACGCACGCTGTTTGGTGACAACATGGCGCCCATGCGCCAAGTTGGCCAAACTCTCTCTATCTACGGCTCTGGGGAGAGTGGCAATAATTTTTACACTGTTAAGACAAATTTTAATCCTTAATTATCACCTTTTTGTCGTGAACATCTTTGTCTGGTTTTAATGATAACTGTCCTTCTTAGTGTCTGTCCTACTGCTTTGGCACGCTTTGGTGTTTTTGGTGTGTTTTGAATTTGTAAAAATTGTCAGTTTTAAAGTGAGAGTACCTAAGCTTGCAAACCGCGGCAAAGAAGCCATGTTGAAAAGAGGGACCTGCAGGGAAAGAAGTTGTTCAGCATTACTCCATTTTGTTCTCCTATACTTACAACTTGGGCAACTTGGTTCGTTAGATACAAGCCATAGAGAGGTCTTTTTAAACATTATATCAAGTATCGTGGACCTTGTACGGTAGGAAATATACATTTTAATTTGTCTGTCCTTCGACCTGAAATTCAAGTCTTAGGCCTAGGCCCCCTAGGCCTACAAAGTTCAGTGGTTGAGCTGCCTAGAGGAGGTGTCAAGCAGAAGGCCATATCCAGGCCTAGCAGTGTGAGTGAAGCTCTAGCAACACACTGGAGTGGTACCAATAAGCCAGTATCTGAGTCTAAAAAATGTTTTACTTATTACATATTTAATATTTAAACTGTATAGATGGAAAGGAGGACACTGTATACAAAATTACAAACATTTAAACATTGACGTTTTAGCAACAGCAGGGGATATTGAAAAAAAATCCAGGACCTATTAGGATGGGTAGGACACCCTCATGCGCGTGAGAATCCACACCACCTCAGCCCCAACCATGGTGGGAGAACATTTTTAGAATATGGACCTCAAGGTGCCCGGAAATCGCACTCTCATACTTTCAAAATGTTAAAGGTACTATATTTTTAATGATAAAAATAATATATGAACAACACAATAATGTACGACAATTATTTTTCATAATACAATATTAATAGTGGGTGCGTTTGCACCATCCGCACCCCCTCTGCATCCCCTGCCTTATCTGGAGCTCCACCCCAGAGCACATGAAGCGTGTATTTGAATCAATGCAAAATTAAAACAGGTGGTTGCTTTGATACATTGAAGTGATAGGCCTACCGCCGTCAGCCTGCAAATACAAAACTAACTAGGCCTATTGTTCAAATAAAGTTTTTTCTTAAAAAAAAATTTAAGCCAAGAAACATCGCTGGATGCTGCGAAAGTGCCGCTACTTTACAAAAAATAAAGAAGTTGCATAAAATATATAAATCACCTTCTTTTATATTTACTTTGAAATATTTGTTCACTATAAAATAAAACAGACCGGATGTTGATAAACCGGTAACAGACTGAATGAAGTCTCTAATCTTGCGTATAAATGTACTTATCAAATACCATTGTGCTCACTGGGCCCTTTGTTGAATGCCCATCTAATCTCAGCCCCATTATGGTTGGGTGAGTTTCATTTTGAAAATATGAACCAGGTGCCCGGTAATTCTCAAACCTCAGCTTAAAAAAATCTTACCGGAAATTCATATCAAGAATACAACAAATAATTTTTCCTAATACAAGTTTAAGGGATGCGATCGCACCGTCTGCTGCCTCTCCCCTACATCCGCCTAGCCGCATTTATTGTATACGTTCAGTCAGTGGTGGCGCCAGTCAGCCCCCTCCCGCTCCACCGTCGGGGAGAGCTGGCCTCCGTCGGGGAGTAAAAGCACAGTTCGTAGGGGAGAAAAAAATTATTTGTATTTTTTAAATATTAGTATCTTCCCTGCCAGACAAATCCTGACTCCACCCCTGAGATCAGTTCGCCCAAAATCAAATTTTATATATTTATTTTTTAATCTAACAGTAGATTCCTCGCGACGAAGCACAGCTTGAAAATAGCTCATGCGCAAAATATGTTCTATAAGGATTATTATAAATAATTCATGAGATTTACCAAACTATCCTACGTAAAGAAAATTCGCCTGCAGCTGTGTGTTTTTGTTGATACCACCTGGGAATTAAAAAAAAATTCCCAAGAAAGAACCTCAACCCTCCTTCCAGTGGAGTTCATCGATTCATGAAAAAAAAGAATGTTTGTTTCTGTGTATACCGGTACACACATAATTAGACCTATTTACTCTAATAATATTGAAAAAAAAAATCACACCCCATTTTTTTTTTAATAGTTTTTGTGAAAAGCTGTGACTCCCTCCCCCTAAATGCGAACCAAGATCCGCCCCTGGGCTAGGCTAGTGTAGGTGGGTCAGGCTACAAAAGTAAGGGCTAAAAGTCATTACATTTCAGAATAAAGGACAGTTTCTCTGACAAACTATCGGTTAATTATTTTATGTTGGTCATAATGGCTTTGACCAGACTGGCATGGAGGTCAGATAATGTATGCCTAAGTCAGTGTTAAAATAAAGACTTGGGTTGTCAGCACACTCTTGAGTTTATGGAACTCGGATAACGATTCCTTCTGGCTTTGAATTTCCATCTATCACGATGATTATTTGTTACCATATTAAATAAAATTATAGTGTGAGAATACATTAACGATGGCGACGACGATGAGGATGACGATGACGAAGATGATGATATGATGATGATGATATGATGATGATGATGATGATGATGGGGCGGAGCACCTAAACACCAGGGGCCATGGTTCACGGAACTATTTGAACCACCGGCATTACCGATTGAAGCGTTGCAGAAAGCAATGTTAACCATTATATTGTGTGATATTTATAGAAGTTTGTTGGAAATTCGGATCATGACACTATGGTGACAAACATACTTTCTGATCCTGTCTACGCTCAGTTCGTCCGTATTCATCCAACTGGCTGGTATTCTGCTATAAGTTTACGATTTGAGGTTCTTGGATGCTCAGCAGGTAAATTTATATTAAATTGATAATTTAGTGCATGTCACAATGTACAGCGGAGTAATAATAAGAAAGCTTTAGTTTTCAACAATATCTCAACACACTACGAATTACAGCACTAAGTGAAATAGAATTTGAAAATATTTGTTTTTCTTTAAAAATAGGCCTAATTACTTCAAAAAGAATACTTTATAGATGTTTCAAAAAATTCGAATAGACCTGAAGTGCCTTCCTATTATATACACTTAGTAGTTTTATAAAACTCATATTGGAGTGCCATTGAAACGCTTTATGGTTAATTTACTTGCCTCCAAATCACAAGGTTCTAGGATCAATTACGCATGCCTGGGGTGTGTCTTTGTGTTAAAATGGTGTAAAGAAAGTGAAAAAAACGAAAACAAAATAAACCCCCCCAAAAAAGGCTTGAAGGTACTGGAATCTTAAAAAGAAAAAGATGATGTTGCATCATAAGAACAATTTGGCATACAAACAAAATCGATTGGTGATGATAATGTCGATGAGAATGAAGATGATGATGATAATGATAACGGTAATGATAATAATAACAACTGTTGTTATTGCGGCGGCGGTGACAGCATAAGCATTATTGTATTACTAACTTAATTTAAACCTACAATAACTTACCATGTACCTGATTAGACGTCTTTTATTAGTATAGTTAAATTTTCTTTTGCCCAAAACAATGCTTGTTTTAGTAACCAGTCGTAAAAAAGTTAATATTAAAAAAAAATAGTAAACTTAAAATGAAAACTTTATTTACCTCTGTATATTTTTGTGTAGACAAAATGGCTGAACACTCAACTTATTACAAGTCTTTAAACTTTCATCGTTCAATAACGACTCAAAACTCGACAGGAAGCTGCATTCGATGTGCTGTGAAGTGTATGAGGCACCAGAATGCAAGTATTTCAAATGCGATGGAGGATGCCACCTTTACACCTGCAGTAACGAAGACAATGTTGTTGCTTTTCTGTTTGGCTCATATATTCCTTTCAACTAAAAAAAAAGATTCTTGCCTTGTCCTGATTGGTCAGTTGCTAAGTTTGATCACTCTTGAAATAGGGCTAATGAAAACTGTGTATGCAGTAATTTTTATTGCAAATGTGTTCACTTTGTTTAATGGAACCCATAATGTAATTTTAATCTTAGCAATATGAATATCGTTCAACATTTTAACAGTGGTAATTGAACTAATTATTGATTTTGTAGATTCGTATATTTTGGTAAAAGTACTTTTGAATACAGAAAAAAAAGTTTAAACGGGATTATTTTGCATAAGATTATTCCCTTTTACCGTACGCAAACACGTGGGTTTTTGGGAAAACACATATGTTTGTGAAATGCGGGCTTACCTCTAGCCCAGGTATGATTAGCGAGTTGGTAAGTTTTATTGTTGTACAAGATCGAAAGGAAGATTTATAACGACATTGTAGAATAAAAGCTAATGCATAATTTGTAAACAAAAAATACTTATATGCCAATGTTGCAACAATTTTGCTTGATATGTGAGTTTATATACGATCGGGCTTGGCCTGAGCTAAGCCTATTCTGCGTAGTGTAACTAGATAGAGCCATGGTGGTTGTGGTTTAGTTCCGAGCCGGGGAATCCGGGTCGTTTTGCTGAGTCGATTCGGCTCGGGTCGATTTGGATAATTTATTATTATTATTATAATTATTATTATTATTATTATTATTATTATTATTATTATTATTATTATTAGCGGTAGCGGTAGCGGTAGTGGTGTTATTCTTAGTAGTAGTAGTGTTATTCTTACAGCAACCCTCTAAGGGATTATGAACTGTGTTATTTACGGATGGAATAGTACATATTTTACAAAATCCCTCAGAGTCGTAAAAAGTCTCTTCTCGTATGTCAATTAAGCGTTGACAAAGACTACAAGAGTAGCCGAAATATTCGCCTAATAAATTTAAGTGTTTCTAAAGTCAACATCTTACGTATTTGAGTTTCTTTACTGTTACGTTATATTATATTCTACATATGTTTCGAAACACACGTGGACACACAATGCACTCAGTTCAAACCGATAACACAGTGTCCACGGAATGAACACACAGTGGAGCACAGAGTGTTCACAGATTGAACACCTATTGAACACCTATTGGAGCTGAGTTTGTGTTCCATAGGCGTTTACTCCAATGACAGAGTAATGCTATTTGTAAAGCGCATAATGGGGCATAACGCGCTATATAAGTATAACATTATTATTATTATTATTAGTACTAGTAATGTTAAATGATGTATGGAAATTATACTGTTTATTATCATTTCGATACTGTTTTATTTCATTACCATCAACACCATTATTTCAATAATATCATTATCATCATAACAACTGCAATATTACACAAAAAAAAAATCAATTATTACATATCAGTCGGCATCGTCAATTACCAATACTTCTGTAGTGCCTGAGCACCCATACACACATCACACACACACAAAACACACACACACACATATATATATATGTATATATATGTATATATGTATATATATATGTATATATGTATATATATATATGTATAGTTGTAACCCTGTGAAATTTTTACTCTTTTAAAAGCTTTAAATTTGGTATTATTTGCCACTCTGTAGGGTATAAACGTTATTTTATTCCATTTAAGTTTTAACTTTGGTATATGTACTGTACTGTATATATTATAGCTGAGGCCACTCAGTGTATTAGTGTCCCTGCTATTCTCATTAGTGGCTATGTTTAGGAATTTGTCCTCAGTTGCTAAGGCAACTGCTGGGCAATAGGTGCTATCGGACACCCCACAGTGATAAGGAATTCACTTCTCACTGACCCTGCTTACAAGCAACATCTGTAAGGATTGAGGACCTAATATTTGCCACACCTTATTTGAGAAGTCATATTTTTAACATCTTTTATATTGCAATTTTATCAACCTGGAGAAGTCTTACTTTTACCATTTTATACTGCATTTTATCAACTGTTTATGATTTGACACCTTGGCTCTTTTATAGGTAAGAATCATAATTTCCTGTTTTGTATTTGATTTAATTTGATTTAACGTTAGTTTATCTACCATATGATTTGTAGCTCGTACTAGCTTCAACGGAACAATTAAGTTGCAGTGTTCCGTTCAGTGTTCTTGATTTAGGATTTGCCTAAACAATTTTATAAACTTTCAATTATGCTATATTGTTAATTTGCTTATCTTATATTGTAATACCATTTGCAATTGCGCTT